TGCCTGTTTAATTCTTTTTAAATATTTGTATTCTTTCAGTTTTTAGCTTTTAATTATTGTCTTTTAATTGCTGCAAGCCATCTTGGGTCCTTTTAAGGAGAAAGGCAAGGTAAAAATATTCTAAATAAATAATAAATAAATTCAACAAGTTCTTAAACTGCAACTCCAAGAAACCCTGGCCAGCACAGATGGTGAAGCCTTCTGGGAACTGCAGTTCAAGAACATCTTGGCTACGCAAAGTTGGGAATCACTAGTGCAGCCTTAAGTGTTTCCAACAGTGACTTCCTAGACTAAAATGGTTATTTCCACCTTTCCTCTCATTTTTAGTTCCTAGGAAATATAGAAGAATCTGCCTTAAATCCAGTGGCACTCTGGTTGTGGAAGACACCTCCTTTGAAGGCCTGACTGCTGATGATGCTAGCTTTGTTACAGCTCAAAGTAAAAATTTACAGCTTTTGGAGTCTACACCTGGGCTCTGATCGGGTTATGGATTCCCATATATTGTTTTATCCTGCTGACCATGTAATATTTTTATAATTATTTGTGTTGTTTTATTCCCTTTACCCTGGCCTAGAATATCTAAGTGTAGGATAAGACAAAATAAATTTAAATAAATAAATAAATAAATAAATAAATAAATACCTACATAAATACATACATACATAAAACCACCAAGAAACTAACTAAAATTCACTTGAGATCGAAACAACAGTATATCTAAAACCCTAAGAATATTGCCTAGTTAGATGGCAACTAGCATAAAATTAACTAAAATTCACTTGAGATCAAAACAACAGCATATCTAAAACCCTAAGCATATTGCCTAGTTAGATGGCAACTAGCATATCTCCCATGATATTAAGTGATTTTCCTGATATGTCTCCTTTGTATTGTTTCCATGGAAAGAAGAAGTGTGTCTCACCACATGCCTTAATCTTTCATAGATTCATATCACTCTCACAGGCCACTTATGTGTAAGTCACTCGAGTAAATTCAGAGGTTGTTGATAACTTAGGTCTATAGTATGAGTGCTGCTTTTGCATAAGTTCTAGGATGCACTGAAACCATGTAACCATAGGAAAGAGACAGCATTGGTGCAAGAATTAAACACGCATGCAGCATAATTCACCATGTGAAATGTTATTAATTATTGTGGGACCCATTCACGAGGAAGCAACACACACCTCATACAAGTAACTTATGAGTTCACTACTAGATGAGTGTAAGGCAGGGCAGATAAAAATCCATGATTAAAAAAAAACAAATAGATTTAAATCACAATTTAAATTATTAAAAATATTTTCTTTTCATCTAAATTACTGAAAACCCATTTTTTAAATTTTGATTTAAATACATTTGATTTAAATCAAAAAGCAACACACACCTCATACAAGTAACTTATGAGTTCACTACTAGATGAGTGTAAGGCAGGGCAGATAAAAATCCATGATTAAAAAAAAACAAATAGATTTAAATCACAATTTAAATTATTAAAAATATTTTCTTTTCATCTAAATTACTGAAAACCCATTTTTTAAATTTTGATTTAAATACATTTGATTTAAATCAAATCCACCCTCAATATTTTCTTTTCATCTAAATTATTGAAAACCCATTTTTAAAATACATTTAATTTAAATCAAATCCGCCCTCATGTAAGGCAATATAAAACTCAAGACTTATACTGATTTAATGTATTCTCGATTTGCCTTGGTGTACGCCCCAGCAAACTCAATGCCACACATCTTTAAGTAGATATGTACAGGATTACAATGTTAATATTTTATCTTTGTGTACTTTGGCTATCTGAAAGAATAGTCATTCTGAGAAAACATGTGGGAATACAGACCTCTAATCTGTCTATCAATCACCCTCATTTCTTTTCGGATCTTCAAAGACCATTCATTGACCTGAAAAAGAAAAGATAGGAGAATTGAATGCAGTTTTATAACAGGCAGCCATGTTAGTCTGTTAACATATCAGGCCCAAAACAAAAGAAAGCAAAAAATAAAGAAGGAAAAAATGGGGTGGCACCTTAAAAACTAACTGGTATATTTTAACGTGAGCTTTCTCGGACAAGTCCACAAGATATGAGGAAGAACATTTGTCCATGAAAGCTCACATTAAGAATTAAATGGACCCTTTCTGGGACAAGCACACAAGATCTCAGGAAGTGCATTTGTCAATGAAAGCTCACATTAAGAATTAAATGGACTGCAAAACACCAGCCGACACAAAAATGAAAACTGAGTGTATCATTTAGAGACATTTCTTCCCTATAAAATTTAGGGAAATTTAGCCTTTTCCTTATGCCATTAAGGGAACGTATATACTATTTCTAGATAAACCAGCCTTCCCCAACCTGGGTGCTGCTAAACATTTGGTCTCCAACTTCTTTCAGCTACAGCTGGTATGGTCGTGGATGATGGGATTCAAGTTGATAAAGGCTGAAGTAAAGCCTTTCATCAGGCAAGAATAGTAGCAAGGCAAAAATATTAGAAGATATTATATTCAGTACATTTTTATCCCATCTCTCCACTAAATGGCACTAACAGTGTCAAACAAAAAAGTGAAATAACTCATTAAGGCCAATAAACAATTTTAGAAGACAAGAAAGTTAAATAACTCATTATGGCCAATAAACAATTCTAGAAGACAAGTGAAATCCAGAATTCCAAAAATAGACAGGGGAGTTCACTTAAAAAATTACAACCGATCTGACTCTGCAACGATATAGTTCTACTAGGATGTCAGATTTTACAGCAAGAAGTCTTAAGCCTCAACTTGCACTTTCTTCAGTTGACAACAGCGACAGCACCATGTTTGGCAGATTTAGTTTTCATTTGGCCTGTCAGTAGTCCAGGTACCTACTGCAAAACATGGAAGGTTTGGTTCCTGACAGCACCATGTTTGGCAGATTCAGTTTTCATTTCTCCTGTCAGTAGTCCAGGTCGTTGTTGTTTAGTCGTGTCCGACTCTTTGTGACCCCATGGACTAGAGCACGCCAGGCCCTCCTATCTTCCATTATGAAGACTATAAGAAAACATCCACTGCCCTGTGTCTGGTAGTAGCCAGCAAGTACCTCTGGAACCCCTGTAGGCAAGAGAGCTCTTTCACTGTTTCCCCCCGGGCAACTGGGGAGATAGTGTTCGGCACTTCCAATCCCTGCCTCCTCCAGTGGGTGCCCACTCGGAGGCAGTACCCTGACTTTCCTGCCCCACATCCTCCAGATGCTGCCTCTGGGTGGGCATCTGAGGAAGAAGGTTGTGCTTAGAAACACCAGCCAGTAAACAAACTGGCACAAACCAGTGGTTCATGTCTGTCTCTAACTAGGAAGCTGAGAAATAGTTTGTTTCTGAAACCTAGAGATTGCATATTGTCAGAGCATGGAAACATTACTTTCTTGGTTAGGGGATTGTGGGCAATGCATAGCAAAAAGAAATATTTCCAAGCTCTGCTTATAACCATCATGATTGGCAACCAGTGACAGACTCATTCTCCATGAACGTAATCTTCTCTCTTAAATGGCAGCTTAACAATCATCCTCTCATCATATCATATGGCTGTGAACTCCATACAGTAATTATGATTGGCAACCAGTGACAGACCCATTCTCCATGAACGTAATCTCTCTTAAATGGCAGCCTAAAAATCATCCTCTCATCACATCATATGGCTGTGAACTCCATACAGTAATGGCCAGGGCTTTACTTCTGAATGTTATTGATTAGAAACAGAGTACCATTCCATGCTGATGTTCTTTGCAAGCAGTCGTGAGCAAGCAGTGATCCCACAGGGAGAACTCCTGCACCCTGGTATGATCTCAAATGTCCATTTTGTAATAACATCAGTTCACATCCTGAGCTGCCATTTTGTAAGTGATGCAGGCAAACATATAAGCAACTCCAGTTTAAGTCGCATTTGAACAACCAAGCTTTCCTGGAGAAGAGGGTCCTCATCCAGTGTAGCTTAGCTACTCATACCATCTTTCCAAGTGTTACGGGCAGTTTTACTACACACTGGGCATGTGATGAAGCAGTGACCTGTAAGTTCATTGAAAGATGAATTGTGTAGTGCTGAGTAACAATTTATGACATACTGTAAACATCCTGACACCTTAAAGACTACCTGCTATATTTTAATGTGAGCTTTTGTGGACAAATCCATTTCCTCAGACGTAAGAGTGTGACTAAGTGACAAATCCATTTCCTCAGATGTAAGAGTGCAACATGGTCCTGAAACAAAGAGACTGTTTCCTGGGTACAAGTTGATAGTGGGGCATTTCACACATGAAATAATTATGACATAATAGGTTGCCATGGCACCCAACCACATGAGAAAGTAACTGTGCCATCTTGCTTATGTGACTTGGAGGGCTGAATCCAACTCTTCTAAACCTAACCTGGGAAGCCTTATCTTCAGGAAGAAACACAGGCGTGCTTAAATTTAAACAAGTGACCGGGAGCACAGAATAGGGAAAGTGTGGGCAGTGGGAGGAGGTACATATAGGACCCTGCGCTCTTCTTTTCGGACTGTCTCGAGGATCACAGGGGGCGCCACTCCCTCTCCCCCCACCGACCCCCAGCAAAGAACAGCAAAACAGCACGTGTGTTTGTCGACCGATAAGCAAGGCAAGGAAGGCCCCGGCCAAGGGGAACTCCTTGCCTTGCCTCACCCACCCTTGACCTTCCACGTCCCACCAACCGCCCGGGTCTCCATGCTCCTTCAAGTCCATCCACTCCTGTCCCGCCTCCTTCTCTCCTCTTTCCCAAAAAGACCATTACCAGCTCCTTCGGAGGCTTCTCTGGAGTCTTTCCGAACAAGCCCATCTCCGACCACTAGTCCTCACTCTCCGCTTCCGGCTTCCTGTTCCTTCTCGCACGGGAACCAGGAAGTGGGGCAGACCACAGAGAGGGAAAATGTAGAGCGGCCGTCTCCCGCGCGGTGTGCAAACAGCTGACTATGAGGTTGTCTGATACAGAAGGCGTCCCTCCTTGCTCCTTAGCGTCTCAGTCCCGCTCCCGCCGCTGAAACGGGGACTGGTCATAGAAAATAGGGGGGGGGGAGGTATCATTTTAGCTAGGGCTTTGGAAAAGTTATCGTTTGGAATGCAAGTCCCAGAATAGCCCCCAGCTGGCGGATTTTTAGCTCATAGGCAAAAGCACAATTCATTCGGTATGCCAATGAAAGAAGGAACCTGGTTTCTATTGAGAGTGGGGGTCGTGAATAGAGGAGTTTCTGCTGCGGCAGGATTTGTGTTTTATCCGGGGCAGTTTCTGGCTGAAATGAGGCAGCCGTGGACAGAGTGAGATGGGTAGGTGGGAATGATCAACTCCACAGGATTTTTTGTTGTTGTTGTTGAGTACAGTTATTTTCATCTTAGCTTTCAACATATCCCTACTTCTATGGTAGCTGTGATGGTAGTGATGATGTCATCTGCCTGTCATTGCTGTGGCTGGAGTTCATCTGCCTATAGCATGACGGGAGGGGGGACTTCAGAGGGTGGAGCCATGGTATTTAAGGGGGGAGTGAATGAGGTGTGAGTTAGATAGGGACTTGGTCAGGGTCTGGTTAGGGACTTAGGGAGTTAGGACTTATTCCTGTCATATAGTACTGTGCTATATTTTGAGAGAAGGTCTGAAAGAAAGTGTGTGTGTGATACTTTATATTGATTGCCTTATTATTTCGTTGATACAGTGATTTACCATTTCTTCTGTTATTCTAAATAAACACAAGTTTTCATTTTAGAAGTCATTTATTTGCCTGAAGAGTCTCAGATGAAGGAATGGTTGGTGGCAGCGTGAACAAAGTGTGTGTATGTAAGAGTGACGTGACACATCCTTTGTGACGTGAGAGGAGGCCGTCACAGTAGCTTACAAATAATGTGAATAAAACTTTGCCACCGGTATGAATGAAGCTCATGAGGATGCCTCCTGCAGGATTGTTGAGAGTAATAGCCTGGTGGACGGAGAGTGACTGACCGGGGCTCAGGAGACACCCCACTCGGCCATGGAAACTCGTGGGGGTGGGGAGTAGAACTGGGGGAAAAAAACACACTTAAATATCTCGCTTATCTTGAAAGCCCCATGCAGGTCGCTATGAGTCAGTTCCGACTTGAAGGCACATAACAATGGAGGTTGGTTTTTCTTCCTTTACTTTGGGAGGGCTCAATTGCTTGATTATTTTAATACACTTTGCTAAGCAAATGATCAATCCAAATCAAGGTTCAAATTTGCCAAACCATTTCAAGGGGTGGGAAATATCCATGAGAAGGTGGTAAAGCCTGATCGGAATAATGAGTTTTGGGAAAGGAAGTGATTAGCCTCTTCCCGATGGGCATTCTCTAATCAGAATTATCCACTATTCGCATAAGGCAAAATCCAAAGAAACAAAACCGGGTGGCACTTGAAAGACTAACATATTTTAATGTGAACTTTCGTGTTTCTTTGGATTTTGCCTGATATGCTTGCACAGAGTAACACGGGCTACCTCTTCTGCAACTACTCACATAAGCTGATTTTTTGTTGTTGTTGGAAGCCCATGGAGCATAGCTCACCAGGTTAGGTGCCCACAATTGCCAGGAGGATATGCAGACACTTGTGAAAAAAAAAAGGGGGGTAGTTCTAAAGAGGACTGAAATAACTCCTTTATTTTTATTCCAGTGAAAGACAGCTTGATTTGTTTTTATCTTTCTTTACCTTCCAGTGGACATCACTGGAAGAACAGGACCTAAACTCCGTATGAAGGTAATATGCGTGTGTGTGTGTGTTAAATTTATATATACCGCCATATCGAAAGATCTCACACAGATACAGTCAATAAAATTCTTTAAAATGATGTGAAACAATGAATGAACCTAACAGATTTCCCTGGATGTGGTACCAGTGTTCTAACCAGTACAGTACTTTATGGCAAGGTCATAGATTTAATTTCCAGCAGTGCCCAGAGTGAAGCTAGATGAAGGCACTGCACAAAATTAAAATGATGGCTAGTTCTAGCCATCAAGTACTGTCTAGAATGTCAAGCTAGTTAAAATAAAACAATGGAAAGAACAGGTACACTGTGAGCTCCTGATGAATCTTGAGTGATGATTTAGTTGTTTTGTTTGGTAGCAATGAGTGATAGTTTTTTGGTTGTTACAGTTTCCATAGTTTTATGGAATACATAGTTGCCTCAATTAAGTCATAAAAATAATAATATGCATAGGTGTGTGGTTCATGCTTAATGCTGTAATATTAACTAGTTTGATCATTCCTAGGGACATGGTGGCGCTGCGGGCTAAACCGCAGAAGCCTGTGCTGCAGGGTCAGAAGACCAAGCAGTTGTAGGATTGAATCCACGCGACGGAGTGACAGCCCGTCACTTGTCCCAGCTCCCGCCAACCTAGCGGTTCGAAAGCATGCAAATGCGAGTAGATAAATAGGGACCACCTCGGTGGGAAGGTAACAGCATTCCGTGTCTAAGTCCCAGTGGCCATGTGACCATGGAAGATTGTCTTTGGACAAACGCTGGCTCTATGGCTTGGAAACGGGGATGAGCACCGCCCCTTAGAGTCGAACACGACTGGACAAAAATTGTCAAGGGGAACCTTTACCCTTACCTTGATCATTTCAAAGTGGATTATTAATTCCTAATTGTTTTTATTTGTGTGCCAGTTGTTTTTTATGTGAAAAGTCATTACTTCTAACACTGTCTACCTGCCATTTAGTTGTTTGCATCTTAAGATGTTGGGGATTAATAGAATGTATATTGTAGCACCCCGTCCTCTATCTGCCTGGTAGCAACTGCTGGCCTCAGTTTGTAGATTCCAGAGGATCCTGATCTTAATGGGCAGTTGGTTTAATCAAGAATAATATGTGTATATCATTTTGCTACATATAATAATGGAAGATCCATTTCAAGGTCACCAAAACAATCAGTCTTACACAGCCAATGCCAAGTTTTTTTTCCTCCAGTATCTCTGCTCTGGCCTGTAAAAGACTGTAGGTCTTGAATCATAAAGTTGGTAGAGATCTTGGAAGTCATCTAATCCAGTACATGTTGCAGCAACAACCAGCCAACTTCTGCTCCGAAAGCTCTTCCAAAGGAGAACTCACTACAGTCTAAGGCTGCATGTTATAGTACTGAAAAGTTCTCAATGTTTCTCTTAATGTTTTTATACCTGGTTGTATAATGCATGAATAAAAATAAATTTAAGATTATGGATATTAATATTGATTGTCAAACTCAAAAGATTCTGATGAACGTCATAGGAGCCAATTGGAAGATCCCTGGAATGAGATATTTAGAAATTGAATGATCAGACAATGGCCAAAGTCCTGTTTGCCTCAAATTACCCAACAGAGGCTGAAGATGTCATCAGCAAGTGCAGGTAATATTTAATTTAAACTAATTAAAAACTTCCTATCCCCCTGGTATATGGAGGCTCCCTATGGCTCCTTTTTAAAGGGGGACCTATAAAAGTTTTTTTAAAATGCCACTGAATAGGTGCCACCAGGATTGGGATTGCCACCAATGATCTGGTGGCAAATTTTGACTATTAAAATCTACCCCACTGTTCTGAGGTCCCCAAAGGCTTCCCCAAGGCAAAAGGGAGCCCTAGGGAGTCTCAGAAGATCAGATGGGGACAAAGGAGGCTATTAATTAGTTTGAGTTAAATGTTACTGATGCCAGCTAATGGCATCATCAGCTTCCACCACATAACTTTATGTAAACTTTCTGCAGCAGATCAGAAGTTTTAGAAACATATGATGGGAATGTTGCAAAGTATTGTTGCACAGTACTTATTTCAGACATTTTAACCTGTCCAACTTAGTGACATGCACTGCTCTGGGTGATTAACAATATGTAAGCTATCCCAGCCACCCCCAAGACCAAAGAAACTCCCCATAATGCACAACAAATGTTAGAAATTAAACCCCCAACAAATAATCTAAAGACAAATTATGGTGGCCAGTGTAAGATGAATCTGGATCCCACAACTACCTTGGGAGAGAGATATATTTAAATCAAAGATCCTTAAAGCAACACTCTCTTTAATTTTCAACCCCACTGGCTGTGGCTCCCACTCTCATGTGCATGACTTTATCCCTTGTGTGCATACACACATGCGGGGTTCCATCGCAACCAGAACCAAATGGGCTGCGTGGAGGAGAAGGAGTGTGCACAGCCACACACCTTAAATGCTTCCTTAAAGAGTTCACTCTTAAGCATCTTCTTAAAAGTAGAAAGGGAGGAGGCCTGAAGAATCTCCAGTGGGACCCCATTCCATAAAGATGGGGTCACAACAAAGAAGGCTGAACTTCCTAGTGGAGACTTCCACCCCTTCAGCATGACAACCTGTAAGAGTGAGGACTGGGTGGAATGACTCACAATCTTTGGGAGAGATGCTCAGCTTTGTACATTAGTCAAAGCCTTGAATCCGGTTCAGAAAGGAACAGGAAGCCAGTGCAGACAAAATATGGTTAAACTTGTTTACGGAGCCCAGGAAGATAAAATTTGACACTGCCTCCATATCTTCCCCTTCTATTGCCCAGGAGGTGATGGGACCAGTGGCCATGATCTTAGTTTTTTTGATGTTGAGTTTCAGACCGTTTTTTGCACTCTCCTCTTTCACTCTCATTACAAGGTTCTTTAATTCCTCCTCACTTTCTGCCATCAGAGTGGTATCACTGGCCATGTGAAAATGGAAGATTGTCTTCGGACAAAACGCTGGCTCTATGGCTTGGAAATGGGGATGAGCACCGCCCCCTAGAGTCGAACACAACTCGACAAAAATTATCAAGGGGAACCTTTACCTTTACCTTTAATTGATTTATTAGAGGAAAGTGATAAAAAAGTATTAGATGACACAGCTTCCCCACGTAGCTGACCGCTCAACAACTGTGTGGGGAGATGTAAACCTGCCTCCTTGACAGAGTGGTTGGCTGAGCAGGGAGGCAGGGAAGCACCAGCCAGGCTACTTCCACAATTGGCACAATGGGAATGATGCCAGCCACACATGCTGCATGGCTACCAGTAATTAGACCTGCCAGTTAAGGGGGGGCGGAGACTTGACTTTCCAGGCACCTGTGGTGCTGATATTCATATCTGTATCCCCAGGAATAGGACTACAAATATCCCATGTCTAATTTAAAGACAAATGGGAGAAAGATGTAGGATGTGTTATAAGATATAATATGAGCAAAATGGAATGCTATTTGAGAATATTAATAGAATGTCTCAAAATGTTATGTCAACAAAAAAGCAAACAAAAAAAATCTACAAATGGTATTGTGTTCCAACTGAACTGACCAAAAGAATTCTGGGATGAAATCCACTGTGTTGGTGCTGCAGAAATGGTACCAGAAGGTTTAGAAACATATGATGGGAATGTTGCAAAGTATTGTTGCACAGTACTTATTTCAGACATTTTAACCTGTCCAACTTAGTGACATGCACTGCTCTGGGTGATTAACAATATGTAAGCTATCCCAGCCACCCCCAAGACCAAAGAAACTCCCCATAATGCACAACAAATGTTAGAAATTAAACCCCCAACAAATAATCTAAAGACAAATTATGGTGGCCAGTGTAAGATGAATCTGGATCCCACAACTACCTTGGGAGAGAGATATATTTAAATCAAAGATCCTTAAAGCAACACTCTCTTTAATTTTCAACCCCACTGGCTGTGGCTCCCACTCTCATGTGCATGACTTTATCCCTTGTGTGCATACACACATGCGGGGTTCCATCGCAACCAGAACCAAATGGGCTGCGTGGAGGAGAAGGAGTGTGCACAGCCACACACCTTAAATGCTTCCTTAAAGAGTTCACTCTTAAGCATCTTCTTAAAAGTAGAAAGGGAGGAGGCCTGAAGAATCTCCAGTGGGACCCCATTCCATAAAGATGGGGTCACAACAAAGAAGGCTGAACTTCCTAGTGGAGACTTCCACCCCTTCAGCATGACAACCTGTAAGAGTGAGGACTGGGTGGAATGACTCACAATCTTTGGGAGAGATGCTCAGCTTTGTACATTAGTCAAAGCCTTGAATCCGGTTCAGAAAGGAACAGGAAGCCAGTGCAGACAAAATATGGTTAAACTTGTTTACACTAGAGATCAATCTTGCTGCCGTGTTCTGCACCTGCTGCAGTCTGTGAGTCAGCTCAAGGACAGCTCCACATAGAGAGTATTATAATAGTTGATCTTTGAGACTACCAGCAAATGAACCAATGTCATCAAGGACTCCCTTTAATGTCAAGTAAAAAAAGTTGTGGAGAAAAGTAATGGAAGAGATACTGCTTTATGGCATACCTTTCGAATCACAAATTTTCTTACTGACTCTGGGTGTGACCACACCGAGAAAAAAGTAAATTGATCCAATGTGAAGTTGCACTTAGATTTCCCCAGGGAAATTCACATTAAATAGGCACATAAGGAGAGAGGAGCAAAGTGACACTGTTTGCAGCTTGTTAACATAGCTCTCTTGTAGCTCTCTTTATCTGCAGGAGTCATGGCTACGGAGGAGTTACCTTAATAAACTGTAATCAAGGGCTGAGTATCAATTTCCTTCTCTCTCTGGCATCAAGGTGCCCCAGTGCAACAGGAGCTGCACCTTCTTTTAAAAAAGAAATTGTCTTGTTTGCAAAGATCCAGCCTTCTCAGTATTTTAGCAGAAACACACCAAGCCTGCTGCACCATGGTGCCAATCTCCAGCACCCCTGCACACATTTTTCTTAATCAGTTCAGTGATCATACTGTCTGAATAAATTAGAATGTATTGACTGTCAAAGAAAATAGAAGCCTCAGCAGTGGAGGGAAAAACTATGGAAAGTGAGGTGGTCTGGGCTGATTCACATTGGCTTTTACATTGCGTGGTCAATAAAAAAAATGTGAAGCAGACCATTCCAATCTTGTAGTATTTCCTGCAACAACAGTAACCTGTTTGACACCAGCCATCAACCACTCCAGACCCAGCGGTTAAAGAATGAAAACAATATCTTTTTATTACATAGGAACAATTTGGGAACAGATTTAAGCTTCAGTTGTTCTTCAGTTACGACAACCCAACAACAACCCTTTTTCTTAAGTTAATTGTCCTTCTCATCACCTCCCAGCTCCCTCCTCCTTCAGACTCCAGGATAGGCTGGCTGCATGCACTACCTAGCCAATCACCTTGCTTCCCTCAAAGAAACAGAATGGTCAGGGTTCCCGTCATAGCAGACTTTTTGTGTATCTTGTATATTTGAGATAGAAATATGTGTGTGTAACTATTTTATATGCTATGTATTTTTCTGTAGCATGGTTAATTTAAAAAAAAAGTTAGAAAAAATCTCAGGAGATTGCTGAGTTTAGAATCTGGAAGCCATGCCTCTTTCACCTTTTGCCCTGATCTTCTGAATGTTCTTTCTCTTTCTCCTCTGTCAATGTCTGGGATTATTCTATCAAAAGCTATGAAATGAAAGGAGGGCAGTACATGTCAAGTTACAGAATGGCAACTGAGAAAAGTTACATTTTGGGAAGTGTAGGTGGATGGTGGCAGAGGGAAATGTTTGGTGTGAAATAAGGAGATGAGTGCCTAAAGAAGAGCTGGATAGGATAGGTGGAGGAGACATCAAGAGAAGGTGAGGGGAGAGTGTGCAGAAGCAAGATGTGAACTAATGAACGTTTGAAGAGCCTGACCATGATTAGAATAATCTGGACTCTTTTGTACCAGATGTTGTTCTATGCATCTGACAAATGGTCTTACTAAAACATTTTAAAAATGGACAATCCCCCAAAAACCATAAAGAAAAAATTTGGAAGGTGAGACTCAAGTTATAACAGACTGGTTTTATTGTTTATTTTCATAACATAAATGCTTAAAAGTAGATAGAATGCTCTGCTGTTTTTCACTCACCCTATACTTGTCCTTCCCTCAGTCCTAACTGCCTACTCCATTATGTTCTTTCTTGTCTCCCTGGTAACCACCCCCTTCATTTTAACCCTCCCACCATGCTCCAGCAATAGTTGTCACTCTTGGGAATCAAGGGAGGACTGATGGAGGTGGCTGCCCTCCTTAGAACTGACTGGAGCCCCTTTCCATACTCTGTTCCGTTTTGTGGCCTGAACACAGAAGAAGCCTCCTACCGTCAGATGATAATCTCCATTTTGCAGATGGGAGCTGAGGTGAAGTGAGCAGTGGTTTGGCTGAATTAACCCACTGAATCTGAAGATGGATTGCCAGCCTACTAGTCTTCAACTAAGAAATAAGTTCTTCAGTGTCCACTTTACTATGTTTAGACTGATACAGCTGAAGTGTTCTACCCTTCTCAATTTTAAACATTGGCTTAGGTGATAATACACTAGCTGAAATCCTATTGTTGATCCCACTGAATCAGTGGCGATTCGGTGAGTCAATTCCTCCACAGGTTCCATTGATCCAAATCAACCTACTCTAGTGACTTATATAAATCAATTAGAGTTGGCCATTTTGAATCAGTGGAATTTTTAAAGGAGTTGACTCACTGAATCCCCATGGATTTGATGAGTCTAATTTAGTGCAATGTACTACACAAGGAGGGATATTAAACTGCAAAAGCCTCTGGGCTGCAGTTCGAATCCATGTGATGGAGTGAGCTCCCGTCACTTGTTCCAGCTCTTACTTAAAACATATCTGGTCATCAGAAACAAACCAAATAGTTATATGCTTGCCTGATCACCCTCTAAATCAATGCTAGATTAGGCCTATTTGAATCAGTGGAGATTGTGGAGGCAGCTTCTTGCCAAATCCCCACTGATTCAGTGGGTCTACTCTAGTGCCTACTCTAGCAACAAGATTCTGTCCAGAATTATTGAGTAAGTCTTTCCATAAATCTGCATGTGATGCCGGAGGAGAAATGTCCTCTTCATTTGAGTTTACACAGTATGTAAGTGGATAACAAGTTTTTTAAACTATGCTCTTACCACTTCCTTGTAAAGCATGGACTTGAGCACTTAGGTTTTTCATAAATTTTGGCATACCAATGGGAAATGGTAATATGTGTCATGCCCTTCCAAAGGTCTATAATAACCAGCCTGGCAGCTATCAGAAAGTTGAGATAAGCTGTTTATGTAATAAATTAGCATTTTCTAGTTTAAAGGGTTTTGAAGTACAGTACTTTTATGAGGATTTGAGATTTTCGTATTTAAGGACCAAAGGAAGAACATCCTTCTTTCTTTAGAATTGATTAGAACATCTTCTGGATTCTCTGATAGAGCACTTCATCCCCAAGAAGAAACTTGATTTATCCTTGGTATTAGTATGCTATTTCATCATTTATTTAAATTTGTAAGGTGGTCATAGTAACTACTGCCATGATATGGGCAAAATTATGCAGAAAACATTTGCTTATGTCACAATTTATGTGAAGGTTACTGTAGCGTTCCCCTTTATTATGTCAATGGTTCATGTTTGTGATGTTAATTGTTCATGCATATTCATATTACTGAGAGGCGGAGCCAAGAGAGATGTGATAAGAGGCGGAGCCTGGGAGAGTGAGTCAAGGAGTCAAAGAGAGTATGAGTAGAGTGAGAGAGTGGAGAAGGGGATAGAGTGTGGAGTTTGGGGAAATCTGAGGAGTGATTATAGTTAGGAGTGTATTATCAAATACTGTAGAAGATCGTTGTTAATATTAAATTTACCTAAAGAAGATATTCATGAATCACTATCAGTTTAACAAAAGTTATATTTAAAAGACTTTGAAGTGTGGATCTTCATCTTCATCTTCCTGAAGTAATGGTGATTTAGTGATCACCTGGTGGCAGCAGTGTAAAAGAGGGGATTGTTTGCCTTCGAGTGCTCTGAGTCTTGACAGTCAAGTAAGGGGGCACAAGGGGCGAACACCACAATTGGTGTCCAGTGGCGGGATACGAAGGAATCCAGTGAAGCCCGAGTTTGGACTTAAAGAACTCCAGTCAAGCCTGATTTTAAAAAGAATTTTCTTGAGTCAAGGGTACCTTTTAGACAGAGGTCTGTGGTAAAGATGTTTGGTTCCTCACTAGAGCTTTTGGGAACAGCTTAGTGGTGGGTGTTTCTGAACCCAGATCTGCAGGGGTCTAAGTTAGGGAACGAATCTGAAAGAAAATTCTTGTAATTTTACCTTATGATTTGAAGACCCAGTGGGCTACCTTAAGGCTCAAGACTCTTAAGAGTTTAGAGAGCGCTTGTGAAAAGGCAGAAACCAGGGGTCAGAGCAGATCTGAGGGAAGAGAAGAAAAAGCTTTTGCTTGAAATAAAATTATTTTAGTGACTGGAAGTAAAAGACAGGTCCTTTTAAAATCAATAAACACTCTGTACTAATCATCCCAGAAGTAAATATACCACCCAAATGTACCAAAAGGGGGAGTCCTGAGGTTGAGGTTTTACCTCAAGAAATGGAGGGAAACGGTGACCCTTTAACTCAAATAGAACAGGAGGAAATTGATGAGGGTGCCTCAGAGGAACAAAAGGAATTAAGCTCCCAGGAGTTTGAAAAATGGAAGCTGGAACAGGAATTCATGCTAAAATCCAAGGAATTAGAATTTAAGGAACTACAGCTCAGAGCTGAGCAAGAGGCCAGACAAATTGCTTTTGAGCAGGAACAAAGACAACTAGAAATCAGAGCTGAGCAGGAGCAAAAACAACTAGAAATCAGAGAAAAAGCTGAAGCTCAGGCTAAACAAATGGAATTACATCAAAAGGAAATGGACTTTCAATTACAGATGAGACAATTACAAATTTCTGCTCCAAACAATAACCTTAACAATAACAACAGTGTTGGAGGAGGAATTCTCTCAAAAATTGATCTTAAGAAGTTCCCCCAATACAGTAGTTTCTATGGAAGGAAAAGAGCAGATACGGATTAAATGGTTTTCAGTGCATTCCTATGGGAAATGCAGATTCAACATAAGAACTTTTCAACTGGAGAACCACCTTCCAATACGGATTAAGTTCTTAAGTAGAGACCCCACTGTATAAAAGAGGGGACTGTCCTGAATCTTTTCTCATTGCTTTTGAGCGCGCCTACTGGGACTTTTAAATTCAAGATGATGATGTTTTGAGAGCTCAAATAAGTGGATGGAAAGGGAGGAGATCACTTCTCTAGAACAAATGAAGAATTTGATTGGGTTAGAACAATTTTACTCCATATTACCTGGGGAGTTGCGTTACTTAGTTAGGGACAAAAATCCTAAAAATTTACTAGAAGTGATCCAGAGTCAGTGGTAGAATATATGCACAGGTTGCAAAACACCCTGCAAAGGTCTCTAGAGATAGCCGGAAAGAACTTAAGGGCTGCCCAGACTAAGCAGAAGACCTGGTATAACAAGAAAGCCCATGAAAGAACTTTTGGGCCTGAAGATGAAGTTCTTTTACTAAGGCCAGTCAAGGGTCACAAACTACAATTAGCTTGGGAGGGTCCCTATAAAGTAGTTTCTAAAATGAACAATGTTAATTAAGTAATATAGGAGGAAGATGTAAGCCCTGATGCCTTAAAGAGGGACGCATCTGAAGATGTTCGGGAGGAGCAGAGGGAACTGCCTACCCTTTCCCTAGCTGAGCAAGTGAAGCCCCGAGCCAGACTTAAAGCTGACGTCACTAGAAAATGACCAGCAGACATCCAGGGGTCAACCGAGTGGCCAGTTGACGGGAAAGGTTGTGGAGGAAGGAGCCAGTGGTCGACAGAGGGACTCCTGAGTGCCAGCAGAGATGTGTCCATCTGAAGGAGATGACAACATCTGGACCAGTCCATGGTGCGCCAGACTACTACGGTAAAGTGAGAGACTTGGACTTTGCCAATTTTACCTTTGCAACAGAGGCTCAGATCATTCCTTGAAAGCCCAATGACTGATGGGGGTGGATAATCCAAGCTGATATTGTATTATAAATGTTCTGTTTGTAAATGTGATGAAAAATTGAATTGACAGACCAAAATGTGAAGAATGATTCAAGGACTTTTATTATAAACTGAAATGGACTATAATTCACAGTTTAAATTATTTATGTAAAAGTTTCATGATTGTGATTTCTGTATGGTTGAAAATGTTAAATGTAAATAATAAGGTAAAGTATATTGTTGAATAGTAGTGAAATGTTTAGAATATAAGGTATAGAAATTGCTATGTTAAATGTGTTATAGGGTAAGTAAAGTTAAATGCAAGTGTGCCTGTTTGTTTAGGAGGAAAAATGCATTTCCCCTCCCAAGCAAACATATTTAAGGGGGGAGGTCTGTAGCATTCCCCTTTATTATGTTCGACTTTGAAGTGTGGTTCTGAACCTTCATCTTCCTGAAGTAATGGCGATTTAGTGATCACCTGGTGGCAGCAGTGTAAAAGAGGGGATTCTTTGCCTTCGAGTGTTCTGAATCTTGATGGTCAAGCAAGGGGGCACAAGGGGCGAATGCCAGAGTTACTTATACAGATTTTTATGTGATACATATATGAGGTATAATACATGTTCCAAAAGTGATTTAGATCCAAGTATTTGAAACACAAATAAAAATAACTGAGATTGTCCTTATCATTGAGGTCTCCTGAGAACTGCATGAAAGGACAAACTCATCCCATTTATCTCATCAGTGGCTTTTGGAAACATTATGCCAGCAATCAAGACAATAAAGATGCCATACACAAAGTCAAGGACTCTTAGCATTGCAATATATTTCTGAAGTAATTTAAAACCTACTAATTTTGCTATCAAGGCATAGGTTGCATTGATTCTAACAGGTCTACTTTAGTTGTGATTTACTTTTGCACAGTGAGTTGCAACTAGATCAGGCCCATAATGGAACTTAAAGAGGACTTGACTCACCCAGTCTCCACTGATTCAGTGGGCCTACTCTAGTGCAACTTACTGTGCTAAGTAATAGGATTTCAGCCATCAACCCTAGTGCAATAAAACAAAGCATATTTGATTGTTATTGATACAGTTTAAGCATTACAATTTGCAGCAAATTTAACTAACAGCATGCATCAGATGGTGGAGAAATCAGTCCATATAAGAATGCCTCTGTCTTGGGACTCAGAGGACAGACTGATTTCTCTGTCCCTCTTTTAGATTTCCCTTCTAAGCAAGGCCTGCTTCAAAAGGAACACAGAAAGCAAGGGTAGCCATTGTGCCAACAAGACAAAATTCTAAAACTGTTATTGTGTCAACATTTTAATTATGCCCATCAAAAGGCACAAAAATCTGCAAACATCTGAGCCCACCAGATTTCTTTATCAGGCTGCCTGCATGTTATAAAATGCAGTTATTTCTTCCCCTTAAAGTTAATATTATTTGCACAATGAAAGAGAATAACATTTTTTTTTTGCTCTTAAACCACTCACCAACCAGACTTTTCTGACCAGTGTACAGCCTATTTTAGTAGCCCAAAGATTCTTTTCCGCTGGTGGAAGGTTTAAGTCAACCTTCTACTCGCTCTCCAAAGCAGCCATGTACTGTACAAATAATCAAGGTGGATCAGCAGTGCTGAAGTGATAAATATCTGAGTGTTCATTATAGCAATGTAAACCCCTTCCCTTGAAAAGCAGCAATACACAGAATAGTCATTTTATTAGAATTAGTTTTATTGCCCGTGTGCCTAAAAAAGACAGAGCCAAAAAAACAAAAAACGAAAAAACCCCAACCCCCCCAGTACAACATGATTTATATAAGCTTTCCTCTGATCAAGAACATATTTTTGTATTAAATGAGGCGTGCTTTGTTTGGACATGCAGTATAACCAAGTTTTACGTTGTGAAACTTTTCAGTGTACAGTGGTGCCCTGCATAGCGACATTAATCCGTTCCGGATTAATCGTCGCTATGCAAAAACATCGCCAAATGGATCAAAAAAACCCATAGGAACGCATTAAACTTTGTTTAATGTGTTCCTATGGGGCCCCAAACTCACCGTTCAGTGAAGTTCCTCCATAACGCCGCCATTTTCGCGCCCTCGGTAAGCGAGGGCAGGGCGCAAAATGGTTGCGGTGGCCATTTTGGGCGTCCAGCGGCCATTTGGGAACCGCCGATAAGCTGTTTTAAAAACATTGCAATGTGAAGATCGGTAAGCGAAACGCTTACCGATCATCGCAATGCGATGTTTTGCCATTGAAAACATCACAATGCGATCGCATTAGCAATCTGAAAAAACAGATCGCTATGCGGATTTGTCGTTAAATGGTGCGGTCGGTTTACCACTCCTTTCTCCTGGGTACTTGGCTAGAAGAAAACATACAGTTATAATAACTAACATATTACCCTATTGTTACTTCTGGATTGTTTATTTAAACATATTCATACAGCTTTCTGCAAAGCCAGAAGATTGCAGGCTGCGCTGTAGAGATTTTTCTCACTCTTAGTGATCTTTCTAGCACTGATTGAATGTCTGTAGAGCTGTTTCTCTCTCTTAGCTATCCTTCCAACATTGGTTGAATGTAGGGCCTTTTTGGCAACATCTGATCTCTAAAAGTCCTTCCCTCAAGATGTCTTCTTGCTTGACTATTAACAACCAAGCAGATAATGAAGGCCTTCTCATTCTCTGAGAACTTTAAAGGCAGAACATTTTATATTGCATTGTTCTGGAACATCAGTCTTTAAAAAGCATACCTTAATACTTAAAAAAAGGCAATAGTGATAGTTGGGCAAGATGTAACATTTTAAATAAATAAAAGTGATTGGTGAAGTTTCATATTTATTTGGTATTAAAAGCATCATCAATGCATTTTACACTTTAAAGAATAACTAGGGTGGTCATAAGCAAAACAGACAAGTCTGGGAATGACTAGGTAATGGATGGGGTCTTACTAAGAAACACTGAAGTTTTTATTTCTCAGAACAAGGACTGCATAAAAATACAGTGAGTGAAATATTGTTTGCATAGAAGAGAGAAAGCATAGGCACACAACTGTTACTAGAATGATTAATGTGACAAAATGTTAACCTTCTTTTAAAATAATTTATTTCCATGGATTTATTTTTAATGTATTTTCACAAACCATACATTATTCAACAAAGGTGTGCTGAACAAAGCTAAAGGAAGAAACATTTAAATAAAACAATTATTCCTTCGAGAATACAATTATTCCTTGTTAAAAATCTCAATCTTTACCCAAATCCTATTCTGTTAAACATTTGCGGAAATATACTTTTGTTGACAAATGTCTGATTTTTGTGCTTGCAAAAATAAGCAAACTAAAGAAACTTATGTTAACTTTTGAACTTCCCAATGTTGTAAACAAAAGATGTAATTGTACAATATGTATTCATTATTTCAACATACAAGGCAACCAAATGATTCTGTCATCAACGTTAGCATCATGTTTATTTTACTTCACTGCACTAACATTTAAACTAAAACTTCAAACCACACGGTCTGTTTTGTGATTAACATTTAAATGGCAAGCAGTAAATATGTAGGAAGATTACAAAGGACATTATCAGTGCCTAGCTAAGATGAGCTGTGGTTCGATAACAGCTGATGATGTGTGTATGGCTTCTTCTTCTTGTAAGAGGCCCATCGACAAACCGGGCAGCAATGTCGCCCCCCAACTAGCCACATCACAATGCAATTCTGGTGAAAGACATGGCCACATGGTAAGCCCATTAATAAGCAACCATTCTTGAAATTCTCCAGACACACAACACATTCTGTACAGTGTAACATACCAACAGGCCAAGCTGACCAGTCAGGCTCCGTATCTTCTGCAGCATTAGATGACCCGTATGATCTAGCTTTGGCACATGAACAGGACTCTGCATTGCATAAGGGTTCTCCTTCACAGGAAATTTGCTCATCCTCTTTGCCATGACTTAGGACATCTCTGCATTCACTATCTGAGTCACTTTCACTCTGAGAGATTTCCACTGTTTCCTCTTCCAAATGCCCTCCAAGACATTTAAATCGCCACATAGGTAAGTTCTTAATGTAATCAGTTGGTATCAGAGGGTGAAGCCACAAATCAGGGAAAGCTAAGCGCTCTAGAAAGAGATCGGGGTCTTCATCCCAATCAGATTCAAAGGGGAAATGCTGAAATGAAGTGATTGGGTGGAACAGATAGCTAGTATACCAGTCCCAAAGGCTTGAGAGCCACTCAAGATTATTGGCATTAATTTCATCACTGTTGTTATTGTGCCGCCTTTTCTTCTCAAAATAATCTATTAGCAAACCATGACCCAGATATGTGCTGAGGAACAAGGCAGGGTGTGAAGAGTAGAACATCCAGTCAGCTCTTACCCATGAAGCTAGGGTTGTTGTATTAGAATACCGGAATAGTTTTAAGCTGTATTCATAAAAGCTGTCTAGATAAGGTAACTGCAAAAACCCCAAGACTGGTAGCCAGGAAATAATTAAGAGAGAATTATAGGTTCCTAAAGTGCTTATAAGAACAACAAAGCGCTTTATAGTAGCACCCTGAGTAATAAAAAGGTCCATCCAAGCCATTAAGTTGACTAAGACTAAACTTAAAACAAATAAATCGTTAACTTCAGGTTGTAAGGAACGTAAGAAGGAGTCCATGGCACGTAGGGATATAAATTCACCAGTGTTATTCCCATACTTGTAAATTCCTTCTGGAGTTCTAAGGATGTAAGATGGTGTCTTATAGATGCCCAGCTCTGCTATGTAACTCTTGTTGTCCCAGTTTTCAACATTTACGAATATAAACTCAACTCTGCCAGTAAACTTTACACTTAGTGCAGAGAAGAAAGCTGGAGGCTGGTCTAATTTAGCAAAGAGATATATTTTCACCCTATATTGATAGCTTTTATTCCATTCTTCTTTCAAATGTTCCGACTTGAAGATTGTTTTGATGCGAGAAGCTGCATGGGCTGTTATCCATTTGAAAATATGCTCCGTCTCAATTTTTCGCCCACTGTATTCTTTAAGCATCACTTTCCCTTTGGATGTACTAGTTTGTGGAACTGACATAATTAATGTGGACCTTACCCAACCTCTTCTCCTGCAGTATCTACAAAGGAAACATTAAATTAAAAGACCTCATTTATCATTTATCTTAACATTAAGTGTTTAAGAATCCACGTGCCTTGAATGCAAAGTCAAAAACATTTTGTCTGTGGCATTTACAGAAAGAACAAAAATCTTCCACTGCTCCCCACTGTTACCAGGAAAGCATCAAGCCTGCTCTTCCAATACAATCCATTCAGTAGTTTTAGAGATCATTTGTGTGTCCAATACTTCTAAATATATATTAAAATATGAGTTATAATCTTGTAAGACTAACCTAAAGAACTAAGTCTTCAATGACAGTGGAATCTGAAACACAAGCATTCCATACTTCTGTTAGTAATTCCCATATTCCCCTGAGTCACAAAACTGTAACAACACATGGCCTCAACCCTATACCTAATGTCATACTTTCCCCTCTTTGGAATAGTCTCTTCTCTATACTCTCTTCCACTTTGACTGCAGATTTTGATTCAGGGCAGCTGAAGAAGGCCAAAGCCAAAATGCAGTATTTTAATATATCTATTAAATAATATATTACTCCAATATATATGCCTTTTGGAATATTTTGATGCAGGATAGAAAGAGCCAGAGGCGACGTTGATTATGTGGTGGAGAAGAGGGTGAATGACGGGGAGGATGGCAGGAAGCGATCAGGATATAATAGGATGATAGGGACATTGGAGGGACCAGACAGCTACATAGCAGCTAGCTCATCATAAGATTTAAGGTAGATGAATGGGAAGAACAATGCAAGTCTAGAATGAGGAACTGTTGGAAAAAGAAAAAGAGCGAAACACAGAAGCAAAAATAGAAAAGCAGATGACTCAAATGTTCATATTTAAAATGGAGCAAATTCATTAGTAGGACAAGGTAGCTGGGAGAGAAGGGCAAAAAAAATGAGAGAGAGGCACTGGAAGTTTCTGTTGTAGAGTAAGGAAGCAGTATGTGTATTTCTGTCAGTTTTCAGAGATAGTCATGTTCCTTTGTTTCCACATGATAAAAAGAAAGGAGTCTTGTACCTTTAAGGCTAACAAATTTATTTTCATGTGAGCTTGTGGATTTTAATTAATTAATTCCATGCTGCCAAGTAAATTTTGACCTATGGTGGCCCTTTTCTGTTTTCTAGGTAGAGAGTACTCAGAAATGGTTTACCACTCCTTTCTCCTGGGGGTGTCTTGGGACTGTGCAGCTTGCCCAAGGCTACACAGGTTGGCTCTTTACTTGGAGAAGGTGCAGTAGGGAATCAAACTCCCAGTCTCTGGCTCTGCAGCCAGATACCTAAAGCACTGAGCTATCCAAAAACGAATGTGAAAATATGTCTTTTAATTTTTGTCAAAAAACAAATGTGAAAATATGTCTTTTAATTTTTGTCTCATCTGAGAAATAACAAAAGAAAAAAGAGAAAGTAAATGTATTATAGAGGAAATCAACTAATAGTTTTGTCCTCAGCAGTATAAATATCTGAATTGGTGGAGCCAGCTAGGATTTGGAAGCAAGAAAGTTTTCCTAGGAGCCAAATGTTGAAAACAGACAAGGGAGTAGGCAGAGAGCAGAGAAGTGAAAAGGTGGCAATGCTTCAGAAGACCTCTTCAGTGACCTCACTTCCAGCATCAAAATAAATCTGAGGGAAATGTGATTTTAGGGGACAGACTGTGGGGTGGAAAGCTGTGGGCAGGGGCTTGTATGATTATAAAATCTGCCAACCACCTACGCTACTTTCAACATAAGCAGGCCAAACCATCATTTGAAATTTGGGTCAGAAGTGTCTGTGTCTATAGTATGGTACCATTTGTCCCTTAAATGTAAAATAAAATACTAAAGGGAGCTATAAAACGATGGCTCATTAAAAGGCCTATCAAAGTATAATATAAGCTGTACTACGAATGCCAGTACAGTATATAAATTCCACAAGGGCCTGTGATTTGAACAGGGAGAGGAGGCTTATCCCACACAACAGTGTGTGGTGCCACCACTCTGCTTGTAGTATTCACCAGTGGTAATAAATTCAAATTTAAAGAAAGAACTATAACTCCTGCATTAACAGGATTGCTTGAAAGCATGGAAAAAACATTGTTCTTGTATCCTCTGTTGCTATTTCTGGCTAATGCACAAAACAGGTCTCAGTGAACGCCAAACTGCAGAAATCTTTCATGAAGGTAATTATTCATTTGTTCACTTACAATGGCCAGAATCATACTGGTATCTGTGTAAGGTTTTGTTTAATTTGCTGTGGCTAATTGCAGCTAACTGATGACGTGCTGGGGCATATCTTAATTATGCAGTCAGGCACATGGTCCAGTATCTTGTCAATCAGCTGCAGCAAGTTACACAAACCTTACACAAACACCGATAGGGCTCTGGCCATCATTTGTATATTATATTTCAACAGAAAAATTCACAAAGTAGTCATCAAGACAGATGGTGCCATACTATAAAGGCAGTGTTGGAAACATTTATTTAAAATGTCCTACAACATTTTCAGGAACATACCTTGGGTCGCTGGAACAATTAAATGTTCCTGTCCGTATGCCAAACCTTGATACTTTCTTCACCATTTTCTCCCAATGGACCTTTCCCATCAAGGGGCTTCTATCATTTGCTATAACCTATTGCATACATAAAATATATGTTAAGACTATATAAAAAGAACTACATAGTTAAAAACTTTAAATGCATTCTAGTAAATTAGTTTGTGTATTTTTAAACAGTTAATTAAGCTCACAATGAAAAATATTCCCCCACCCACCCATTTATCCTCACTTATCCCCTTAGTTTAATTTAAAAAAAATGTAAAAACACACATTTAACTGTGGGGGGTGGTGAAACTTTTTTATTTAGAAAGAACTGCAATTCCTATGGAGCAAAGGATCATAGCCATCGTTTGTACACTGCATTGTGCTCCAAATAGCCGCGGGCATACATGCTTCCAAGCAGTTGCTTCATTATACCAGACACAGGAGAATACTGGGATCCTTGTCAAGAGTAATAACTTGATAGGCACATTTCACTCAGTTTGTCCTAGTCTTGAAGCCATACAGTGACTCCTGGAGCAACTCTTCTACTTAGAAGTATGTGAACATTCTGGGCAAACAGGCTCCTCTGCATCAGTGATTTAAATTTCACTTGTCCACAGAGCTCACAGGATCCTTTATGACCACACTGCAGAGATGGCACAGAAGTATGAACTAAATGCTTTGGTATGCTTTTCAGGAGTCAAACTGCTGAATTATTAGAGAGCACAAATATCCCAGATGTATCACTTCTTTGAATTGCCTATTGTTTCAGGCATGAAAGCAACTATTGCATGAACTCCATTAGTTAGGGCATTAGAATTCTCCTTTCAAGACTGCCAAGAGACAGTGGCAAAATTAGAGGAACTATCTCAAATATCTAATACTGGGAAAATTAATGCCCAGGGCACAGTTTGCATGGAAAACTAGGACAGAAAATAGAAGTTTAAAACACAGAAGAGTTTTTTTTATGTTTTAAAGAGAGTCAACAATATTTCATAATTTCTTATCAGCAATACAGGAATACAATTTTAGACTGCCAAGAGACAGTGGCAAAATTAGAGGAACTATCTCAAATATCTAATACTGGGAAAATTAATGCCCAGGGCACAGTTTGCATGGAAAACTAGGACAGAAAATAGAAGTTTAAAACACAGAAGAGTTTTTTTTATGTTTTAAAGAGAGTCAACAATATTTCATAATTTCTTATCAGCAATACAGGAATACAATTTTACTTATTTATTTATTTA